AAAAAAAAAAAAGATATATATATATATATATATATATATAAAGAGAGAGAGATAGTATTTTCGGACACATTTATTGAATTCTTTGAAAGCGAAAAATGACAAATATATACTAATGAATTAATTGTTTCAGTGCTTAATATGAAGTAAAGATGCACCATTATGCCAAAATCTGATCTTTGAAGCATATTGTATGGAAATGTGCTAGTTTTAATTAATTGAAGAATTAGTTTTATTCAGCTGAAGCATTTAAATAGGTTTTAATAAAGTCAGTTTTTTTTTTTTTCAAAAATAGGTTTTAAACCTTTATTATTATTATTTATACTGTATATTTATTGTATTTTAAATTGACAATGAAATATAAAATAGCCACAGAAGCTAGCATGGTGTAAAATAACTTAAAAAAACAAGCAAACAAACATTTCTTTCTATTTCAGAGGAGATGGACAACGGCGTGGACCAGTTGGATGGGCAGGAACGGACTCAATCTCCAGGCTGTGAACAGAGGGATGCTGGCAGAGAGGGGGAGAGAGACGACAAAGAGAGGGAGGAGAAAGACAGGGAGAGACTGAGAGTCAAACTGCCCCAGAGATCCGACATGATCTGCGGCTTTGCCACCCTCAAAGGTTTCAGTGTGTACACATTATTGTATCTTCATCTGATTTTATTACCATTCATCATGTCATATGTCACAGGCTGTGCAGATTGCTGATGTTTTGTGTTTCAGGCACTGCTGCAATGAGAAACACCAAGAAAGGGTCCTGGTTCATTCAGGAACTGAACACCACAATCAGACAGAGAGCCAACGACACACACCTGGCAGACATACTTGTGCAGGTAAAACATTTTAGTCCACATTTTGAATACACTGATTTATGGCCATTGATGGTTTCCAAACAATGTTAACATTTCGTGTTTTGTACCTGGCACTTTGATATTTAATTCAGTTGATAGCCATTCAAAATCGGACTGTTTTATAAATAACACCTTATTCACAACTTGTAACAGCATAATCATGTAAAGCCTGACATATGAAATAACAGCCATGAAAATATGTTTTGACATTGATCAGTTTATTGAACATTTAGACAAAATCTAAAACAGTTTGCATATGTGTTTTTGTTGAGTATCATATTTGATACTTCAGGCTTTTGTGGCCCATATGGTATGATATAGGAGAATATAAAGCTCAAACATATCAGTGTTCTTCAGAGGCCCTAAATGAGCAAAAATATGCAAATTGCAGTTGCTAATACTTATATTGACAACAAGACAAAATTCTGATATCTTTTAAATCAATGAGATCTTTATCAGTATAGCAGACAACTTACATAAAATGTGTATAAATATCAGTTGTCACTCTATATCATCCAATAATATAGTGAGATAAAATTTCAGTGATGTTTGAATAAATTTATATGATTAAAAACTGTGTAGTTTTAATTGTGGGGGCAAAACATATAATGCAATGTGGATTAAGAGATGTGCAGATAACATTCCTCAAAAGCTTAATGTATCATCTTTGATACTCACATTTTGACATGACTTTTCAAAAAATGATGTATGTATGGATAATAAATGAAACCTAAGTTTCCACAACCTGATGGGGGATGAATTATACTAAAAGGCCTTTTACTTGCTAAAAAGTATAAATTTTCAATCAGATGACAGACGGCATGTAGTTGATTGTGTATAATGGTGTTTTCAGCAAAGTTTTGATCATGTTGATAATTAAGATGCCTAAAATATAATTATTTCAAATATAATAAAAAAAGTTTGCATGTAAAATATGATAAAAGTAGGCTTTATAGGGTTAAAATATATTTTGCTCTCTCTGTTGTTCTCTATAGGTGAATGGTCGAATTAAAAGCAGAGAGGGATACGCACCTGGTTCAGCCCATCATCGCTGTAAAGAGATGTCAGAGTTCACCAGTTCCCTCTGTAAAGACCTCTACCTCTTCCCTAAGTACTACCCCAACAACTAGACACACACACACACAAACACACACACACACACACACACACACTCTCCCCAGGCACGAAGCACACACAGAACACACTGCCCTCAAAACTGATTTTGATGCAGTAGCGGGAGCTTAGCGCACGTGTGTGTGTACATCCATCACCTGCTGCAAGCTCAGCACACAACACACAGAGTCATGTAAATCTACTTACACCCATTCCATGTGTCATCTGTTTCACATCCCTCAGCACAATGACAGATTCATAGGATGCGTGTGTTATTTACAGTGGATTTGCCAAGATAGATCAGATTTTTTAAAACTTCTTGGGTGCACTTAGAAAATGCATTATCACAAACATTCTCCATTTATTCTTTATTTTTTTGCCTTGCTCTTAACTTTTTTTTTTTCCATTTGTTTTATCCATTTGTTTTCATGATTTATAGGGGGAAATTGGAGTTAAAAATAAGCTGGAAAATTAAATATATTTTAATTCATTTTTTTTATTCAGCAGCTGTATAAAATCTGCCACAGAATTACCCTTTTTTAACCAAAGCCAACATTTTATCAGTCTTTTGTTTTATCGGATTAATTTTTATATCTATTTGTTTTCACTCTTCTTTGTATAGTTTTGTTTTCTCAGTAATTCATGTTCTGTATGCTTTGCAATTGTGGAGCCTTTTTATAGCCAACTTGTTGGTACATTCAGAGCAGTTTAATGATAAACCCCCCATCTGTCACACATACATGGTTGTATGCATAGACATGCATAGTAGCATTGTGCCAGTACCATACTAAACTCCTTCATACCATTTCACTTATTAGATTGGAGCAGAGCAGATCTGCTCTTACTTTATCTTTGGTTTCAGTTAATGTTTTCTGTAAGTACTGTGGCATGACATCTGTTAATTTTCTTTAGTTATCCTGTATGCACCATGGCAGCTTTTTTGAATTTCGATAGGGCTTCCTGACTCTGAGTTAAAAGTTAAACTATTTATTGATCCATTTTGGTTAGCGTATAATAGTTATTTTTAAAAACATTACTAAGATGCATATCAATATACTTCTCCAGACATTTGAGTAATTCCAAAACTTCTGGATTCCAGTTGCATTCCAAATGGTGTTTTCACTCGTTTATATATCCTTCTAACATGTTTTGTAATTATGCCTGTACATATGCATGTTTCTCTTACTCTTGCACATTTCTTTTCACTTCAAACATTCTGTGTGCCAATGAATGCACATTATGGCGACTGAAAGTATTCTGTCTTAAAGAAAATCCTACAGGTGGCGGTAGAGAGCTTTTGCATTTTATCAGCTCACCTTTTGTCATTTAGAGCTTCCAGTTTTTAGACACACAGTCACACAGTTTCTGTTCTGCACACACAACATTATTCCTCGTGGGAATGTAGACTGTAAATTTGAGTGTGCTGTTTTCCATCTGTGTGTGTGTCTTCCTGATCCAGTAGGCATGACCTTTAGGTTAATGGTCGCAACCTTTGACCTTTTGACACTGCCATGGCATCCCTCAAACTTTCTTCTACATTCCACACTCATCACCTTTACCATAGGTTATCACTCAACATGATTATTTTATTTTACTGCATTTTATTTAATTTTTACTGTCTTAGAAGCCAAAAGGTTTTATGTAGATGTACACTGTTCATGCTGATATTGCTTTCAAGGAACTGTTGCTTTGTTGGGTTTTATTTTGATATTTTAACTAATAAGCTTCTTTGAACTGGCAGAATAATATGGGCATAAGTTCATTTTAAACACACATTAAAATCCTAAGTATAAAATGAGGGGCTGGTGCAAATAAATAATTTATAAAGGATTACTTTCATAATGGAAACAGTGCCATGATAATTTAGAAAAAAATATATTGAAATATTTAAACAAATGACTGGTTTATTTGATGAAATACTAAAAGTTATTTTCATTAGTCAAACGTTGTTTCAAAATGAAAAATAAACTTAAAGTAGGAAACAGACAATGTATATACACTAGGAAAATGTGTCACAGTTTTACTGTACTGTGTTTGTAAGTATTTCTTTAATGCTGCAGTCATTCCATTGAGAGAATGCCAGCACAATGATGTTCTCCAGAACCAGCCTAACATGAAAGGAAAGATGGGTTCATTTTAAACTACTCCTCTAACTGTAACTTTATACATTTTAATCAATGTATTTCTCAGGCTGTGTTCACCTGGTTTTGAATGCGTGTTCAGAATTGTAATGGTGAAAGCATTGTGACACTGAGCGCTACAGGTTCTAGTTGTGGTAACAAATGTTTAAAAGTTCCCCTATGAAGGTATTAAAACCCACAATGGACATAGATACATATAATATAATCCAGTTTAGTCCCTGGCAGCCTGACTGTGCCAGATGAATGCCTTGCAAACTTGATATTAATTGGTTTATTCACTGCCTTTGTCATATGTACAAACCAGCTCTAAAGGGTGCTTTAAGAAAACTATAGGGAACTGTCATTTTTGTATTTTTGTAATGCAAAAGCTGCCATGTAATAAAGAAATACTGTTCCAAAGACCATTGACTTGTGCTGTGGATTTCTTTCTATAGTTGTTTGCTTGGATAAATGTATCGGTTGTTGTGTATTTGAGTTGGAGTGTATTGTCTGGTTGGTTATAATAGAGTGCCATGTTGTTATGCTCTGTGTTGAGTTGTTTAGTATTAGATGTCTCTCACTCCCTCTCCCTCTCTGTTTTTCAGAGTTGTCCTCGGCTTCCGTGGTGATGCATTTTTATCCGTGTGCTCGGGTTTCTCTGTCCTGCCGTGGCTGCAGGAACGGCCGTCATTGTACCGATCCCGTAACACTTACCCATCTGACCTGTTAGCGTGACTCCAGAACTGAAACCTTTGCCGCAAGGCCCAGATGGTATGTATATAAATGCGTGGAGGATTACTTTAATCACTTTATTTATTTTTAAGCTTTATTTAGTCGTCCACCGAGACGTTCTTCCAGGTATATCCTGGCCAATCGATTGGCAGGCCCAGTTGTGATATAAAAAGCGACAACCTACACAATGTATTTCAGATCCACTTGAAGTCACGAAGGATCGTGTATGAGGTTTTGCTGTACTTTTAGCTTGTCAGATCAGTGGATGCTTCACCCGGATGTCTCTCTAGGGTAATTCCTGTAAACATTTCGGACTCTAGAAGCTATGAGTTGGCGGAGAGTTTACATATTCATCAGCCCGTTAATCAGAGTAGAGGTTGAATCACAGCAAGAGTGAGTTGTATTTTAAGACTGTGCGGGGCATCTGAGTTTCCTCGCTGCGGCATTGACGCTGTTGTATTGGGTCATGTTGCCCCCCCCCCCAGCTCCTTCCAAAACACATACTCACTCATCATGTTACACGGGTGCCCCCGAGGGGGTGGTGTCCTGTCAAAAAACACCCATGCTCGCCAGAAGGAACAAAAACAAGAAGAGGTGGAAGTAAAACGGAAATCCAGCTGGGAGGGGTTCAGGCCTGCAGATAGATGGGGAGGCATGTTGCCGCTAGTAACGGCTGAGAGTGGGGATGTCGTTAGTGTGAGATGAGGCGGCGATTAGCCGTGTGCCGCAGCTAAGAAAAGACAAGCAAATCTGGACCTGTATTATCTATTTAACACAAAACACAAGTACGCTTGTTTGGGCTCATCTGTTTCAGTCACTCTCTTCGCCAGCTCTCGGTTTGAGTCTTTGAGTTTTTACTCACTACACTACACCTTATAGTGATTTTTAAAAAACAGTTTTTCTTGCCCTCTTCATAAAATTGATCCTTATTTATTTCCTATATCCTGACAGTGCTTATTCTAGTGTTTGGATTATGTGTTCGTACTTACAGAATGTGTAGACAAAATGAATGGTCTCCTAACAAGAATTTACCATGGCAACCATAGTTTCCCTCTAGAATACCATAGATGCAGATTATTGTTAACATTGCAAAACTATATATATAAAAAATAATAAAAAAAAAAATCTCTTAATATTTCTAGGTTTTCCAGTCCTGGAATACCTAGAGATATTAGGGAAGTGTTTTTTTACAGCACTGGAAATGTAATGTAAATGATTAAATTTTTTTTTTAGTTCTAAAGTCCTTTATCAGGTAGAAATAATCTTCAAATTTGATATGTAAAAATATTTGAACACTTTACGGTAAGGTTCTGTTGTTTAACATTAGTTTACATCACTTTAATATGAGCTAACAATGTCAAATACTTCTGAAGCATTTATTAATATTCGTTAATGGTAATTTCAGCATTTACTAATACATTATTAAAATCTAAAGTTGTATCTGTTAATATTATTTAATAGACCTGCTCTAACATGAACTTACAAGGAGCAGTTGTATTTTTATTAATAACTAACGTTAACAAAGATTAATAAATGCTGTAACAAATGTATTGCTCATTGTTAAAGTGTTCAAAATTGGGGCCTTGTTGTGAAGCGTTACCAATATTTTTAATATTAAATATTAATATGAATAACTTTTCTGTCATTCAGGCAATTTTCAAACTTTTATCCAAAGTGATTTATAGTTTTTTTTTTTGGTCTTGGAAATCATGGAAATCAGGCAATTTCAAAGGTGTGTTTTCTGGGCCTGGAAAGGATTAAAAAGTAATAAAATGGTAATAAATAAACAGTTTTAAAAAAGTAATGTAAATTTCCATATTATTTTTTCCAGTCTCTCTTAAGTTAGTTAATTAAAAATGCTATCTATTTGTTGAAAATCACTGTAAAAAATAATAATAAAAAAAACATTGTTAAGAAACAGTGGGAACCCAGAATAATTTAAGAAATTTGCCAGAATATTTCTGTCATTCCTAATAGAATTACAGTTCATTTAAGGTGTACATTTTCAATGGTTTTCATGGTCATGGAACATGCCAGGTAAAACAAAAAAAGGAGTTCTAAAATAGTGATTTTAGGTCCTGGAAATTTTTGGAAAATTAATAAAATATTAACATATGGAAATTTCTGACTGAACTCTTAAGTACTGCTCTTTGTGAGTGGAATCTATAAAATAATTTAAAATCTTTATCTTATACTCTAGGATTGGAAAAATTCTGGAAACTCGTAGCTCAAAATGATCGAGAACCCTGACCTTTGTGTTACCAGCTTGCTTATATACCAAACTAGCCAATACCAAGTACTGGACAGAAACTATGGATACTATGGTAATGTTTTGTAAGAGTTGTGAATATCTGCATGTTTGTGATGTGTTTGCGTTCTCTGTGCCTTCATAAGTGTTGTTGGTGCAGTGTATTACAGGTAGGCCGACACTTTGACAGTTTGTGGATGGTGTGTTCCAGTGTATCTAATTGAAGAATCACGCGTCTCAGCATTTTTCTCGCAAGTGTGTGTTGCGGGTACTGTAACATAAGAGTGAGGCAGCGTG